AAAGATGTAGATACATAAAAGGAAAATGTGATGTCCATTTCTGCAAGCAATGTACCAGAGAGACTTGGCCTCATGTATTAATTCCTGTATCTTAATTTGATACCTGTTCCATAGATGCTCTATAAGTGTTACATGAATGAATAAATGCTAGAATTATCTTTTAGCTATTTAGTATGATCTTGAGGACTGGTTAAATGATCATTTGTATAATTAATAATTGAAAAATTTTAAGCAATTTATTATGAAAACTATAAATGGTTTTTGTCCAATAAGAAATGCCAAGAAACTATAGATTTGGAGATTTGTGTGCCCAGATTTTAGGGATTTATCAATTTCTGCTAAAAATAAACATTTGTATTCAAATTGTTAGTCAGTATTTCCCTTTAGAAAAATGCTAATAGAAAATTGCTGAGTTTCTCTCATAAATTTTTCTTTATTTGTTGTAAATATTTACTGTATATAGATGCTTACGTTAAACTATTTTGAGTGAATATTTATAGCTGGAATGTGTATCTGCTATTCTTTTAAGGTTAAAATCCACTTTCGTAGTCTCTTAAAGTTACTGCAAAGACAGGCAGCTGATTGCTCCCAGAGTCCATGAAGCATTCATATTTCGTAGGAGACTTCCTTTCCAAGGACACTGGAGATGTTTCAGAACGCATATCCCATCAATTTCTATAGCTATCTAGAGACTGTACAACAGAGTCTTGGTGTATTTTCCTTTCTCTCCCTTTCTTTCCACTTAAAGCCATCCTGCTTACCTCTCTGTTCTTAAGGATGAAACCAGTTTAGACACAGCAGAACTACTGATTGCAAGTACATGAATGTCTTGCCAATATCACAGTTACAGACAAGGTGACAGTGTCTGATACAGCAACAGGTACTGCTGTTTCTACCAACTCTTGACTTTCCTGTTCCCTGCCGCTGACATAAAAACAAAGCAAATCAGAAAATGTCTGAAATTCACTAACTACTCTAATCACACTATTCTGGGCTAAAAATGTGTAACCCTCAAAGTTCAAATGTTGGCATCTAATCACCAATGTGATTTTATTAGGATGGGGGTATTTAGAAGATGAACAGATTATGAAGGCAAACCCTCTTGAATAAGATTAATTATCTCATACAAGGAGTCCCCAAAGAGTTCCCTTGTCCTTTCTTTTGAATGAGGTTATAGCAAAAGATGTCTATCTACAAGCCGGAAAAAAAAAAAAATTCCCAGCAGACATCAAACTTCCTGGTACCATGAATTTCCTAGCCTCTAGCACTGTAAGAAATTAATTTCTTATTCATAAACTACTTACTTTATTAGGTATTTTGTTCTTGCAGCCCATAGAGACCAAGGTTATTAGGAATAATCTGAATCCTGTTTATTGCGAAAAGGATTTGGACAAATTGGGTAGTTCCACTTTCGCTAAGTAGATAGATTCAATATTTAAGCATCATATGTTGTTTTCAACACATCGCCAAGCATGGTATTTTAGATTTACTATTCCTGAAAGGGTTTTTGTCCCTTGGAATTGTGCCCTCCTCTAAAAAAATGACTAACATGTTCTACTGTTAAGAGTTAGAATATTCAGAGAATCGATCCAACCACTGTTCTGGTGGTAACATGCCTTACGTTCACGTCCAAACAGCAGAATGTTCAAAGCTGTGACACCAATCAATTCCTTTTCCAGCAGGCCCTTGCCATCTGGGCTAGTTCTGTTCACAGTGGACAAAGCTTTTTCACATTCACAGATGAAGCTACAAAAGCTAATTCAAATAGAAGACCTAACCTATGACTTTCCTTTCTTTTTTGGACACAAATCTCCCAGCATGAAAACCTCATCAGAATCTTCGTCCCCCACCTCTCTCTCCCACAGACACTCACTTTTGACAGTTCTTCCTCTATATAATTTTTAACGGTCATACTTGTTTTCCAGTACTCCTTCTGGCCTTTCTCTGTGGCTCTTTGTTACTTCATACCTGCATCCTCTCATCATTCGTGGTCTCACTAACCAGAACCAAAGCTCTGCTTTTTGGACCTGGCATTTAGTGCCTCTACATATACTTTTTAGTTCTTTAAATTTATCCACTACATGGTAAAACTGATTGTGGCGTCTTGAATGAGAAATGCCTCTCAATAGACTAGCATGTCTGAACACTCTTTCCCAATTTATGGCGCTGATCAAGGGGTGATGGATCCATGTTGCAGGGAGCATGGGATGGGCTTTGAGAGTGTGTAGCTTTGCCCTGATATGAGTTTGCTCTCTCTGCTTTGTGCTTGCGGTTGAGATATGACTTCTCACTTTCCTGTCCCTGCCACCAGGCCCGCTGCTTGCTGCTATGATTCCTACCATGATAGACTCTTATCCTTCTGGAACTATAAACCAAAAACAAACACTGCTCTAGTTCTAAAATGACCTATTTGGCATCTCTAAAAGGATTTAAATGGTATATTACATGTGGAAAGAAAACATTCGACAAAATGTAATTGATAAATTAACTAAATTGTATAATTAAAACCATTTAATAAGTATAAATTATTTTGTCATGCCCCGACCTTGTTGTCACCTTTTCTGCCCTTCCTCTGCTTAAAACATTTCCCTCCTATTTAATCAGCCCCCATTTTACTTCCTTTGGCTTTAAGATTCATCTTCTCCCTTTCCTCCTCTCCTTCATGATCCCTTTACATTGTAGAACATGATGAGTTTTCTGTCTCATTGTCAAAGATCATCACCTAGTAGATAATCAAGCTCAACCAACCCAGTGAAAAATGGCATCTGAGGTGCCTGCCCACTAGAAAACAGGGATCAGACTCAGTTCTGTCACCTCTTAAAGGACAGCTAGCTATTCATTCCTACTCTCATCTGCCCAGAACTCCATCCTGGAGAGACTTTTCATCACAGTTTTCCCAGACACTGCATCTCAGGGTGGATAAGGCCAGAATCCTTCGGTTCACCTAGCTTAGAAGGAACTTTCAGCCCTCCTGAGTATAGATTTAGCTGTAGCAGCCTATTTGTACACACCCAACCAGGTTTACATTTTCTTCATTGCAATGATAGCTTATACTATTTTGTAAGCCTATATTGTCAAACAGGAGCTTGCATGTGAGCGCTGCTAGCGGGTCTCTGGGTCTTTCTGGTCACCTGGAAGTGAATCTCCTGGAGCTGTAGAACTGATCCCTGGGGGTGTTCCCGTAAAAGGAAGGCCCATAGACACAGAAAGCCACTGTCACTATGGGAGACACAATGGCAGAGGAGAGGACAGAGGGGAGAAAGGAGCCTCTTCAGAGCTCCAAAGTCAAATGTGCAGAATCTGTTACTTTACACCAAGTCAGTGATACATTTATGTAAATTTTTTCAGATAAGAAACCCAAAAAAGAGCTGGGTGGTGGTGGCACAGGCATTTAATCTTAAGGCAGACAGATTTTTGTGTTTGAGGCCAGCCTCGTCTACAGAGTGAGTTCTAGGACAGCCAGGGTGACTCAGAGAATCACTTGTCTTAAGCAAAACAAACAAACAAGCAAACTAAACTGAGCAACAAACAAACTCAAAATCATTCTCATGTTCCAAATCCTCCAACTTTACATTATATGTATAAATATATATATATATTTATATTTATATGTATAAATATATATATATATATATATTTCTAATATGTATAATGTACAATCTCTGTCCTGAGACAGGCTGCATGAATCCTCTGAGGGGTTTTTGTACTGGGGTCATAGTAGCCCTGACTTTTGTTTACCCTTGAGGTTAACTGAGATTTAACTGCAGCCATCATTATGACACCATAAAAATCTTAAGATTAACAAAATGAGTTTAGAATTAATGGAAACAAGAAGTACTCCTGATGATTTCGGTAGGGAGAAAAGAACATATGCATTATCGTTCATTCAGTGTTTTCATTCAGTGTTAAGTCTTACTCCTGGAACCCCACTATAAAATGAGACCCAGTGGGGAAAAAAATGTCCCTTTATTTTTCTTTTAGGCAACAACCCCATAACAATAAAAACCAGTGGCTATTGTCCTCTCGCTTGATATTATAAAGGACACAAAGGAAGAGCCTCAGTCATGCTTTCCACTTTTAAAGGTATCAGTGAACTTGGAAAGGGGCAGGGAGGAGATGAGAGAGAAAGGGTGGGGTTGGGAGGGAATAAAGGAGTGGGCTACAGCTGGGATACAAAGTTAATAAACTGTAACTTATGTTAAACTATATATTAAATAAATAAATAAATGAAATTAATCATGATGTAAATTTAAAAAAGGTAGTGCTTTCCCTTGCTGTTGATTCCCCTGACCCATCTATGTTTCTGACACAAATGCCAAAAACTTACTGAAGGAGCCAGTCATGTAAATGCATGATTTTGTGTCAAACCCATGAAATAAAATATTATTTATAGAATAAAATTTAAGAAAGGAAGAAAGAAAAAGTGAAGAAAAGAAGGAAGAGTGACAGAAAAATAACTTGTCTAGAAGTTGTGAGTTAAAACTTAATATGTCTCTAAGTGTTAAACCTTACCTGAGGAGGACATGCTAGCCCATGTCTTTAATCGAAGCACTGGATCCCAGTAAGAAGATCTCTTCAGTTAAAAGCCAGTCTGGGGGGCAGGAGCAGAGGGTGCTGAAGAGATGGCTCAGTGGTTAGGAGCACTTACTATTCTTCCAGAGAACCTGGGTTCAATTCCCAGCACTCAAATGGCAGCTCACAATTGTTTATAACTCCTGTTCTGGGGGAACCCTACACCTTCACACAGAACATACATGTAGGCAAAGAACCAAAGTACATAAAATAAAAATAAATAAATAAATTATAAAAAGGCCAGCTTGGTTTACAATAGAAAGTTCCAGGCCAGCAAGGGCTACATAGTTAGGCAAAACTATGTCAAAACAAAAACAATTCCCTAAGCTGAATTGTGAGATCACCCTTATTTTTCACCTCTATTTATGTATTAATACAACTAGCACAAATGAAGAGTCTGATTAAATGAAGATACATAGGCTACTGGTCTTAGTTTATTATAGCATTGCCTTATTAAATTCCTTTATTGTCACAAGGAAGAGTGAAGGCCAATTTTTATGCATGAATATTTCACCTTAATACAAATATCTTAAAATAAAACAAGCATCAGGCTTCTTCAGAGCTGTGTGACACATTGCACTTATTTCTCTGATTTCTCTATTACTTTGCAATTGTAGTCCAATTGGGTGGCCCTTTCCAGTCTTATTTAAAGTCTCTTTCTCAAAATAGCAGGACTAATGCCCCTTCCCCCATCATAGTTAAACATTCCTATGGAAAGAAAATACAAATAAATAGAAGTTAGAAGTCTTGGTCTCCGATGTGACATCTGAAATTTGGGGGTAGATTTATTTCAAATAAGAATCTGTTCTAAAAATAGTGAAACATACAGAAAAAAAATAGTTTGGTCATCTAGCTCTACTTAATTTGGGAGAGCAAAAAGCAACGCTAAGTTTGCAAACAAGTACTATTTGTACTAGAGAAACGCAGTGTTTTATCTTCTCCCGTTAGGCTCTCACATGCAGACGCCCTACAGGCTTAAAGTCTGAAATGGCTCTACTACAGTGGGAGATGATAATCATTCCCACTTCAGGGCAGAGCGAATGACACCAAATAGAGGCTTCCTTCGGTTTGGCAAACAGAACAATGGCTTCATGTGACAGAGCAGTCCTTTCGCCCTGTTGATGAACACGAGGGCGGTGGGGGCATTGTACTAGCAACTTTGGCAATAAGCAGATGCAGCACGGTTTTCAAAACAGCAGGTGCAGACCTTGGAAAGATACAGTTGAAGGGAAGGGGAAGAGAGAAAACTCCGTGTAATTGCTGGAAAATGAAACCATTATTCAACAGAAAATTTGAGGTTCGGGTGTAACACAAACCTCGCGATGCCCTCTCGCATAGCTGGAAATGTACATTCAAATGAAGCACCAAAATAAATTACCTTTCTGGGGTAGCAAAACTAAAGGCAGAGGAAGAATGCCTAGGGTGGGAGGGAAGCTCTACAAATTGAAAGGAATTAAAACCGGTTTTCTCCTCAGAACTCTGGGTCACAAAAGCCTGGAATAAATGAATCCTCTAGATTCTGCACAGAGAGCGACCTCTAACCGTTCCACTGAGGTCTCCGCTCCTTTAGTTATCTGTCTCTGGGATCAAGCTCCTGAGGATCCGTGAGGTGTTGAGACCCTTAGCAATGAGAGCCCAGAGTTCTGCTCATTTTGTGTGCGACCTGAATGAACGAATCCAGACATTATTAGGATATGCTAAACAAAGCTGTAGTCCTCAGTCGGAAGAGAGAAGGGGTTGAATAGAGAAAATTTGCATCCTATGGTTAAAATTGCGCTTTTAGGCTCCCCAGGACACGCCTCTGGAGTTGGAAGCACTTAGGAGCATTTTTTGCTCTTTGCCTCCCCTGTATGCCCCACACCCACACTTCCTTAGAGGTTTCTGGCTCTCTCTTCTCTTGTACAAACTCTCAACTTCTTGGTCAGTTCCGGGACGCTGTTGGCGAGGTGAGGCAGAGGAACCTGAGCGCTGCAAACCCGAGGCGCCAAGAGGCTTTAGCGGAGGAGCCTGCCGCTAAGAACCAAGCCTAGTGTGGGGCGCGCCGTCCTGTGCATCTCAGCGTCCCCAGCGCGCCCTCCCTGGCCAGCAGTGGGCGCCTCCCGCAGCAGACACCTGGCTTTGCCAGAACGTACAGAAAGGCCAACAAACTAGAGGGATGAAAGTCTGCCTTCCGAATAGTCTGATTGTCAATTTCTTTGGTGAGTGCTGACACCACGACAGGAAACCAGCTACAGGCCTTCCTGGCTCTTCCCCATGGGCCAGGCCCACTCCACTCCAACAGACACTTTTGCCACTTGATTTTGAGTTCAAAAAAACACAGAACGTGGGCATTGTGCACCGGGGAAGAAGGGTATTTTGCTACCCTACAAGGCAGGGATTTCCAGGGTGCCTTAGGCCAAAGTAGTCCAACTGCTTTTCCGGACCAGCAATGAGTGAATGGAGATCAGACTCAACAGAGAAGACTGACACCCAATTAAAGAGAGAGCGGAGAAGGACAGAGCAGTCTTGAACCTCCAGACTAGGGCAAAAGCTGACAGTTCTAATTTGAGTGACAGATGCCATACAGCTTACATTTTCTGCCTTGAATCACTGAGATTTAATCTTCCATCGTGAAGAATTGGGATTTCGAATAGGGAAGAGGTTATTGCAACTATAAAAACTGATCCTAGGGTCAAAGACGGAGCCAGTAACTTTTCACACAGACTCTAGGGGTTCTCTATGATTTCTGCAAAGAGCACTGTCCCCTTGAAATAGAATAAAGAGGGGAAAAGCATTATCTGAAAGCCATGGGCCAAGAAGCTGCGTGTCCTAGGAAAAGCAAGTTCTCTTAGGTGTTTCTTCCAAGGAGGGGGTACTGAGTGAATGGGGAGGGTCCTGGAACCCCTATACTCTTCAGCCTCCTCTTCCTCCTTTTCCATCACCACCACTATTACCATCACCACCACCACCACCACCATCATCATCATCGGCGGCAGAACTTGCACTTAATGATCTTCTTAAACGCGTTTTGAAAGTCCTTGTTGAAGTAAGCATAAATAACGGGGTTGAGAAGAGAGTTGGAGTAGCCCAGCCAATTAATTATGGCACCCAACAAGGCAGGCATGTGGCAGCTGCTCTCGCAGAAAGGCAGGACCAGGGCCACGATAAAAAACGGCAGCCAGCAGAGGATGAAGGTGCCCATGATGATGCCCAACGTCTTCACTGTCTTCCTCTCGCGGGCCAGGGCCATTTTGCGCTTTGCCTCAGCGTTGCGCTCATTTTTTCTCTCTAGGCAGGCGGAGGCATAGGAGGGAGCCCCCGACTCGCTGGGCAGAGGCAAGTGCTCTTTGGAGTTGCCCACTCGGTGCACCTCGATCACCTCCAGGGTGGCGTCCTCGTCACCCTGCCTCACCGCGCCGTTAGCGCACGGAGCCCCCGCTGCCCTGTTTTCAGCACCGCGCCTCCAGTCCCCACTACCTGGCTGTCCGTTCAGACTCTTCTTGGGGGGCGGAGCCGACGACGTTCCCAGGCTGGTGCCTGCTCCCTTCTTTTCCACCTTCTTGACGGTCTTGCGGATCCGGAAGCGCGCGGCCCTGAAGATGCGCCCGTAGAGAACCAGCATGAGCAACAGCGGGATATAGAAAGCGCCGAAAGTGGAGTAGATGGTGTAGCCATGGTCCTTGCTGATGGTGCACGCGTCGGGGTCCGAGCGGTCTTCCGGGGTGCGCCAGCCCAGCATGGGCGGGATGGAGATGAGAAAGCCAATGAGCCAAGTGAGTGAGATCAGCGCAGCGGCACGCCGGGGCGTCCTCTTGTTCACGTAGTCTATGGGGTCGGTGATCGCCCAGTACCTGTCTAGCGCGATCGCGCACAGGTGCAGGATGGATGAGGTGCAGCACAGCACATCCAGGGCGATAAACAGGTCGCAGGTGACCTGGCCCAGGGTCCACTTGTTGAGCACCTGGTACAGAGCAGCCATGGGCAGCACCAGCACTGACACCATGAGGTCGGTGACCGCCAGGGAGCCGATGAGATAGTTGGCCACGTTCTGGAGGGAGCGCTCCAGGGCGATGGCAGCGACCACGCAGGCATTGCCGAGCACCGCGCAGAAAATGAGGGTGCCCAGCAGCAGAGAGGTGATGACTTGGTAGCTGAAGGTCACGTCGGAGATGCCCGTATCGTTGCCGCGGGTCCCGAAGGGCTCCCGGGACGACGTGGTGTTGTTGCCCTGGCCAACACTGAGCGTATCCATGCCTGCCTGCGCGCCCCGTGGGATGGGGGAAGGGAGGTGGGGGGAAAGCTGCAAGGGGATCTCCCTTGCCCCTCCCCCTAGGGTCTTCCTCCTTTTCTGAGGAGTTTCAGAGGGAGGGGATCCAGGGACGGGAGCGGGAAGTTCTTACTGCTCTGGCGAAGGCATCTGGGAGGAGCAGCTCACCGGCGCTCTCCGGCTTGGCTCCCGCGGGTTCTGAGCGCTCTGAAGCTCCAGCTAGGAAACTGTACTTGGCCTGAGAGCGGATTCCAAATCTCTGGGTGCTGGAGAGATGGCTGCGATATCTGTCTCACACTGTCCATTTCACTTTGTCCCTGCCAAACTGGCCACTGGAGCCGGACTCTCCCGGGGAGTAATCAGTCTCCGACCTCAGAAGTCTCTGGGTTCCAGAAACCCCATCCTACGGGGTCACTCTGTGACCCTCAACCCCCATTTTCTTCTCTGCCTCTCTCCTGCCTTCTACAGTCTCTGCTTTTCTTTCTTTCTATTTTTTTTTCAGCCTCCTTCTCTCGGCTTCCTCCCACTGGCCTTCCCTTCCAGTTCCCCTTTCCTTCTCACCTCCCTTTCTTTATCCCTCTGTGTCGCTCAGACAGCCAGTCTCCCTTCCTCCCACGCTAACCCCCACCACCACCCAGCACTTCCCCAGTCCCGAATGCCTCCTTCTGCTCGGTCCCCCGCCCTCCTCTCCCTCCAGCCAGGCGTCTTTACATTCCAGTCCTCACACTCAGAACTCACTTCGTATACTCACTCCAATCCGATCTGCTAGTCAGAACTCACTTCATATACCCACCCGGATCCGATCTGCTAGTCAGGCCAGTGTTTTAACAGATTAAACCCCGCCTCCTACCCAGCAAAGTAGAGGGAGATGGAAGGAAGCAAGCAAGGAAGGAAGGGAGAAAGGAAGGGAGGGAGGAAGAAAGAAATCTTTCCCCACTACTCATTCCCTTTATCTCTGCCAACTTCTTAGATAGAGGCAGGTTCACAGTGTGGTTACTGGAAATGAGGAAAGACACAGGGAGCCTGAAAGTTGGAAACCTGGGCAGCCCACCCTCTAAACTACTAGGTAGAGAGTGTGGGTATTAGCTTCTTAAAAGCCTGTCCTGGGACGATGGTGCCAATGGCCTTTGCCCAATTATCCTGTGGGTTGGGGGGGGGGAGATAAAGGGCATGTGAAAATACGGAAGCTGAAAACAGCTGAATCTCAAAGAAAAGGTTTTTTAAAAATCAGGCAGGTGTGTATTCTAAACACACAAGCACACACTGACTTTTCAGTCGCCACTCCTCTCTTCACCTCCATGATATTAACACCTCCCACGGATTTGTAGCAAGTAAATTCGGGGAAATGTTTGTCTGTGTACTGTTAACCATGGGGTGCATTTCCTTGGACTTTGGACTTCTGCCTCTCTCACCAGAGTCTGCAGACCTTCAGAGAACTTGGTGGCGTCCCTCTGCTCCAGCAACCCGAGTCTCTCTGAAACTGGGTTCAGCACTTGGGACAGCTCTGTGCACGAAGGGCTTGCTTCTGCCGCCACCTTCCGGCAAGCGCTTCAGAGCGCCGTGGAGGAATGTCTTCCATGAAGGAAACCCAGACTCTAAGACACCTGTTCTCAATCGCTGGGTCACAAGCCCACCCCCTTACCCGCGCCCCCCCCCCCTCCGTGAACCTCTGTCTCCAAAAATATCTACATTACGATTCATAACAGTGGCAAAATCACAGTTAATGAAGTAGCAATGAACCTAATTTTCTGGTTGGAGTTGGTCACCCCCTCATGAGGAGCCCTGTTCACAGCGCTAAGTAAGGTCAGGTCGAGAACCACTGTTGTAAGCAGGATACTAGAAAATAAACAAAAACTATTAAATATTGTCATTTTATTTATTGTCAAATATTTTCTTCAACCTTTTCTTTCTCTTGGGTTCTTGTATCAAGCCTGTTATATGTTCTAGCTCCTTTTGAAAGCTTGTGACATCTATCATTCACGAATTCTTTAGGAAAAATGGCCTTTTACAGGATGCAGATGACACTTTTACCTGTTAGTGTTTTGGTACCGCAGCCTGTGCTGCAGAACTCACATGTTCTGAGTTCCCACCCACGTGGGAGGGTGGCAGTATAACCTTTTGCATAGAGACCTGACTTAACACTGAAAGTAGAAAATTCTAAAAGTTTGTTTTAAACTGTTTTTTATTATTTTTGAAAAATCAATCACCATTGAACACAAAGAACGGGACTTCTAATTAATCTGAATGAAAACAACACACAATAAAAGATCTACCTGGAGATTCTGATTAGACACCTGAAGTGAAGAAGTGCAGAAGGCAATTCCCAAAGCAATGAATTTTAGATAACAGGCAAGGGTTCACTACAAATTGCAATAGTCTTACAATAGTGTTCAACAAGAGCTTTGAATTTCATAGTTTTGTATTCTTAAGACCAAAGAAAAGAGTAATCATTAAAGTATATTTTTAAAAAAGAAAGAAAAGCTACATGGGCAGACATATACAACACAGGGCAGCATGTTTGAAGATGGGTTGACCTGGACACAGTTTCCACGCCATTATTTCAGCATACCAAAACAGTGAAGTTGGCATGTGTGGTGATTCATAACTGAAAAAAAGAGATAAGTACGTACAGCAAGACAGACTCAGAGACTACCTTAAAAAAAACATGTGGGAATGTAGGTTATTATAGCAAAATCCCTCACAAATATAAATTGTTCGTTAAAATGCAATTGTAATTGCAGAGATTATAATGGACATTTAAAGTCTGAAATCTCCAAGGACAAAACTTTAAAAATGTAATTAAGACTACAGAGTAAAAGAAGAAACATTTATATTCAAAGAGCAAACATACACATATCAAGAACCTACTTGCGTACGAATGCGTAAAGCTTAGCATGTGTAAACATGTAAGTCACGAAAACCAGGAAACATCAGTCAGCAGCATGATGAACCAGATCCTAAATGGTTTAATAGCTAACAAACATATTTTTTCCTTTTCAAGAAAGTCAAAAGGCTTTGAGTCTGGAGCTTATGCTTACAAAGTCTGGGACTTGCTTTTCTACCTTAGTGCGATAGAGTGCAGCAGTGTTAGCAACGATAGAGTGTGCCATGTTCAATTCATGTCTAGGAAATTGCCAAGCAGTTCATATGCATGACCAAATTAATGTACATAATGTATCAAATATTTCCTTTCTTAAAATGTAAGAGATTTAATAGACACTCTTCTGGATGCTCAGAGTGTATGTGCAGTGCTATAATTCTGTGGCTTTTAGGTAACTAATAATTATGTGTGACTTTATGTTGAAATAATACAGTGGGATGTAATAAAAGCAAACCAGTGTCACCTTTCTTCGTGCTCACACTTAGTCAATTTTTCTATGTTTAACTCTTAGGCAATACAGAAGCTAGCTGGGTATGGTGGCCACCAATCTTTAATTCCAGCATTTCCTCCTCAAGGTAGAGGCAGGTAGATCTCTGTAAGTTCTGGGCCAGTGCTGATAGTTCCTGACGGGAGCTTACAACTACCATGTAAGTGGGGAGAGGGCTGTTGGCTCCTTTCATGGTCTTCCACTGGTTGTGGCAAGCATCTAAAAAGAGAATGAAAGAAGGAGAGATCACACACACGCACTTACAGCTGATGATGAAGTAGGACAGGCACTAGCAGGTAGGTTCTAACAAGCTTCTTTTTAAATTTAGCTTTTCTTCTTGGTGCCTTTTATTTTATATATGCATGCATACATACATACATACACTTTCACATGATGGGTGAATGAAACAAACTCCAGAGAGCCAGTTCCAAACCACACTTTTTCTCTTTTTCCCACAGCTTACACATCCCTGCAAGGTCTTTCAAGCAGTACAAAAACCACAATGTGGTTACATTTTATTTTTCTTTATGTGAATGATTTCAATGAGTATGCATAAGAAAAACATGTTCTCCAGTACCTCCTTATGATCAATTGTTTTATGTATTATGGGTTAAAAAAAAACAAATGTGAAAAACAAGTTATTTCCAAGAACCCATATACATTTGTAACTAAGCCACCTGCTTATATATAACAAGGTGAACAAGCAAGGCAGTTTCCCAGCCAGCTTTTCTTTGCTGGCAGGCTGCAGTTGGCAACCAAAGAAAGAATCAATTATCTTGAAAGGTAATCTTATAAAAATCTTAAAAGAATCACAAATATAACCTTTTATATGAAAAATATTCAGTCATTTCTACTTTAAATCTTTAAGGCGCACATCCACTCAGTAATTTTAATTAAATCATAAGAGGAAGCTGAGGCAAAAATGGGTACAAGAAATTTATTACATTGAAACCCAGCTTCAGTGAGAGAGTCAAGTCAGCTAGTTCTAATTGGGGTATTGTTCTCACTCACTAACCTCAGCAGGTCCTTGGCTCTCCTATTAAGAGTATACTCTCCTGAAATTCAGACAGTTCTCTAAGATAATCTACATCTGAGCCCCTAGGAAAAAAAAAAAGTCTTCACTTAACCTGCCTAAACAAATTGTTTTTCTCTAACATTTTCTACATCAGAGCCACAACTAAAAACATCTTTCTTTACCTAAACTTGCTAAACAATATTTTTTTTCTAATTCTTTCTAAGGGCAGTATCCAATCTACATCTGCAGGTTCTTTTCCAGGGTGGTGGTAAAATCTTTAATCTGCTCCAGCAGTCATGTTTGAAAGAGATCAAGCATCGTTATTTGTAGGTGCAAGGGAGGGGCAGGCAGCCTCCTTAGAGTATTCATACGATTCATATGTTCTGAAGGATGTGGTGATTATAAAGGGCAACAAGCAGAGCTGTGCTCTGTAACAGCGTAAAGTCCTCAGGACACGCAGTTCTTGGGATTATGCCTCTCTGAGACAAACTCACCATGATTGTGCTAAACGGCGAACCGCATTCCGTGAGTTCTAGAGCTCTTTTGCTGTTGCTCCTGCATGGCTCCTAACAAGATAGAACTGATTAAATGGTATAAAATTCCCCAGGCAGACTTAAGTTCATTTGTCAAGACTGCTGAAGTTAACACGGGGAAAATCTTGCTTTCTAATGACTATTACTGATATGATTTCTAGACAAAAACATCAATCATTCTGCTTTTATTTCTAGCTTGAATTTACTAGAATCAAGCCCGAACTTGTCAAGTTATAGATTTGTGTGTGCTATACCATCCATCATGCAGAATTTCTCTGAAATACTTTATGAGAGATAAATATCTTTTAACATTTTCACAGGAAATTTGATCCAAGCCCAGCATTTTAATGTAGCTCTTTGGCCAGGAGTATAAGAAAGATTTTAAGCTGAAGCTTTACTGTGGACCTTGCTGAAGTTGGGGTTCATCAGAGGTTGCTTAACCATCACCTCCCAGTTACACTAAAGTTTCTATTAAGGAGGGAAGAAGCTGTACACTAACTAGTTAGAAACTTACAAAAGTTATTCCTTGTCTGTTCCTGCTTGAAAAGAAAAATGGTTTGGTTCCTTGACACTAGGATAGGTTATCTGAAGCTAAAACTACTATTCTGAATTGAATGTTCTCTGGTCCTTGAAAACCAAGGTAGTAAGACAAATACAGCTGTACAAGGCCACAGAGGAAGACAATGCAGCCAGTCCTGATAGGCTAGGATCAGATGGAAGGGGAGGAGGACCCCTATCAGTGGAGGAGGAGGAGTATGGGAGAAGAGGGAGGGAGGGCGGGATTGAGAGGGATGAGGGAGGGAGCTAAAAGTTGGGATACAAATTGAATAAATTTGTAATAATAAAAAAATTAATTTTTTTAAAAACTGAGTTTTGACTGGAAATCACTAGGAAAATGAAGTTT